GCTGGTCTTGAATTCCTGGCCTCAAGTGATCTGCCCACCTCTTCTTCTCCTCCTTCTTATTCTCTTTTTCCTTTTCCTCCTCCTCCTCAGACTCTGGAAGTGCTGTGATTACAGGCTTGAGCCACCTTGCCCAGCCCCTGTTGTGTATATTTTAACACACATACACCCCACCCCCCACCAATAACTGATCTAAACCAGTAAGTTATTCCTGAGGTGCTAAATTGCCACCATGGCCCTTTAGGATTTTCTTTTTTTTTAAATCGGAGATGGAGTCTTGATCTGTTGCCCAGGCTAGAGTGTGGTGGCATGATCTCGGCTCACTGCAACCTCTGCCTCCTGGGTTCAAGCGATTCTTGTGCCTCAGCCACCTGAGTGGTTGAGATTACACGCGTGCACCACCATGCTCAGCTAATTTTTGCATTTTTAGTAGAGATGGGCCATGTTGTCCAGGCTGGTCTCAAACTCCTGGCCTCAAGTGATCCACCCGTGTTGGCCCCCCAAGTGCTGGGATTACAGGTGTGAGCCACTGCACCTGACCTAGAAAATTTTTTTAAAGGAAGGATGCTGGGCCATCTCATGGAAAGAGCAGCTGAAGCCCCCAGGCTGGAGCTGGGGCAGGAAATGAGGCAGTTCCAGGGACCTCAGGACAGAAGTTCATAGACCTCTTTCCTTGGGACACTGCCAGAAACTCACTTCTGCTCTAGCAGCAACCAGACTGAGTTTCTCGGGTCCAAATTTCAAATCTCTACGCGAGTCTGATTGGCCAGCTAGATGAGATGGCCATGCTGGGTAGATGAGCTTGGGCTGGGGTGGGAGGCAGCTTGGGTTTTAGCAACATGGCCACTGGGGAACAGTTATGAGTCAGTTTACCAGAATCCAATTGATTGGCCTACTTTCACCTTGCTCACTTCACAGCATTTATTTGTTCCTCTTAACCTTTCAATCTTAATTACCTGACTTTTGTTTTGTCTTCACAACAGCACTTTGGGAGGACGTTGAATGCGAGGGAGCTGGGTTGGCCACCTGCTGTTGAGCTGGGGTAGAGTTGTGCGGGGTGGGGAGGAGATTGAATATAAATGGCCCCCAGCCTTGACAAAAGTCTCAAGAAATGTGTAGAAGCCCCTGAAAAAAAACTGAGATTAAGCTTCTTTCACCCTAGCAGAAAAGAAGCAGGAAGTTAGGAATCAAGTTGTCAATTAAGAACATTTTATTTATTGCATGCTTGGGTTTTGGACTGAGAGTTTACCCCTAGCTATGTCTATCCCTTTCTTTCCCTGTCTTGCAAAGCTTAACATGGGAGGTAGAGATTTGCACCTTTTTCTTTTTTTAGTCAGGCACTCTCTGTACCCATGCCACCCTGAGGAAGACAAAATAGGAGAGGATTTAGCAAAGCCTCTGCAAAAATGATTAATGTGAATATTTCCATCTCAACCTCCTGTGAAAAAGTTATATTATAAAATAAAACAATAGTTGAAGAAAATGTAGATCCAAAAAAGTCCATAAAGATGTGAAGGAAAAATCAAGAGTTCTATGGGACTCTTAATGGGTCAAGACCCATAGGTCGGAGATCATCTGGCAGGCTGGAAACTGGCTACATATTTGGAATGGCTGGTGTACTGGTGTGAAGTGAGGAATTGAAAGAAGAGCAGGAGAAGGATGTGAAAGATATTTTCCTATGTATTAAGAGTGTACGGGTTGGACATGGTGGCTCATGCCTATAATCCCAACACTTTTGGGAGGCCGAGGCAGGTAGATTGCTTGAGCACAGGAGTTTGAGACCAGCCTGGTCACCATGGTAGAATCCCATCTCTACCAAAATTATAAAAATTAGCCAGGTGTGGTGGTGCAAGCCTGTAGTCCCAGCTATTCAGGAGGCTGAAGTGGGAGGATCACTTGAGCCTAGGAGGTGGAGGTTACAGTTAGCCAAGATCAAGTGAGCCAAGATCACATCACTGCACTGAAGCCTGGATGACAGAGTGAGACCTCTCTCTCTCTCTCTCTCTCTATATATATATATATATATATATATATATATATATATGAGTATAACCTCTGTCCACGACCCTTAACTTTGTTATTTCCTCCTGAGATTGAGAAAATATTCGAGATACTTCTTCTTTATTTTGATAATTGTTCTGTTTCTCTCAGTGTGACTGGCTAGTTTCAGCCTAATAAGGCTGCCCCTGTTTTCATAGGTTTACCCCTCTCTTCCATAAACAAGGGCTTCCACTAAGGCCCGCTCATCACTTGGGTTGGCCATTCTTTGCTGTAATTATTTTAACCATGGCCAAGTTCCTGGAGGGCAGCAAAGGCAGGCTGGGATCCTTGATGTACTCTTGGACCCAGTCATTGCTGGGGTTGCTGCAGACTTCTCGGTTCTTTTTGGTGACGAAGCTGCAGAGGCAGAATTAGGCCGTCATGGGCTGTAGACATAAGCAGCAGTCCAGTGCACACCCACCTCTGGCTCACATGGAGCTCACCTTATGTTCTTTAAAGCTTCCCTAGGCCTCCCCTGGCTGGATCCTCTCAGACAGCCTCCCTCTCTGGCCTCAGAACTTCATCATCCCTTCTCTAAGTCTCTTCTCTACTCAGCCTAGACCCTCAAGCTTGGGTTTCATAATGGATCACATAGCTGTAAGTGGCAAAATTAGGAATTAATCCCAGGCCCCTGAGAGCCAAAGGCCAAACCCTTAGCCACTACTCACTACTCCACTGCTTCTAACTTGGAGACCTTAGCCACTATCCCGCTGCTTCCAGCCTGGAGACCTTAGCCACTATCCCGCTGCTTCCAGCCTGGAGACCTTAGCCACTATCCCGCTGCTTCCAGCCTGGAGACCTTAGCCACTATCCCGCTGCTTCTAGCACAGAGACCTCTTGTTCCCATGTATCCCATTTCTGCCCCTGGGCCCTCTGTCCCTCTCCACAGAAATATCTACAAGGAAGTGCTTACATGATTGCTGGCAGGTAACAGTTGAGGGCTCTTCTGTACGCAATCACCAGTCTCCTTGGCAACACTTTCTCATTATACTTCAGGCAGCAGGTGGGTGGGGTGTTCACCCCCTGAGGAACTTCTGAAGGAATCACATTGCAAACTGAGCCAGGGAAGTAGAGAGGGGAGACCACACCTGCCCGCCTCTATCTTCCACCATTTGTGTTTCACTCCTCTGATAGCAGAGCCATCTGTTAGAGGAGACCAATGATAGCTTGACGGGTAATGGAGAAAGTGCATAAGATGAATCCCTCTCAGTGACATACATTTAGAACCCTCAGCCTGTGAGATGAGTGTCAGCTACAAATGACTTGGTTATTCACACTTGCCAAGGAACTGGGAGGAGGCTGCCTCACTCTTTTGTTTATTGGTGACTTGATCTGGCAAACGTGTGTTGAGCTTGTGCTCTATGCTGGGGTCTATGGGGGTAAAAACATGAGGAAGACACAGTTACTACCCTTAAGTAACTTATAGAACTAGTCAGGGTTAAAAGGGAAAGTGAAAAGTTAAACAAACACTACCAGAGAATGTTGTCCAGGATAGAACAGACTTTGGCATAAGGCACTGTGGGAACAGAATGAGGGGCCCCTAACCCAGCCTTGGTGGTTGAGGAAGTCCCAAAGCAAGTGATGCCTGCATTGATTTGTAAAGGTTGAGTAGGATGTAGACATACGGCTGGGCGTGGGGGCTCACACCTGTAATCCCAGCACTTTGGGAGGCTGAGGTGGGCAGATTGCCTGAGGTCAGAAGTTCAAGATAAGCCTAGCCAAAATGGTGAAACCCCGTCTCTCCTAAAAATACAAAAATCAGCCAGATGTAGTGGCGCATGCCTGTAATCCCAGCTACTCAGGAGGCTGAGGCAGGAGAATCGCTTAAACCTGGGAGGTAGAGTTTGCAGTGAGCTGAGATCGCGCCACTGCACTCCAGCCTGGGT